TCAAGGTCAAGAAGCGAGGGAGCGATACGGGCGACACTAACACGCACTCCTAGCGCCTCATCGCTCCTACGCGCGATGAAAGTGCACAGATCAAACTACATGGGTATAATCGTATTTTTCTCTTACCGCTTCAGGAAACTGCATAGGCAAGCTTTGAAAATGGGATATTTGACCACTTTCACAAATGTTTTTCTCTCTATTAATACACTTAACATGATAAAAGCGAAAAAGAAAATTGATTTTTTATCCTTTGTGGAAAAAAGTCGTGTTTCCAGAATTTTTATTAACCGGGAGACGCGTTTACACGCAAACGACGTTTTCACAGAAAACATTTCAGTACATAGCCCTCTTAAGATGAAATGATACTTTGTATATAAACTGCTTTTTTAACCTTTTGCACAGAATTCCTAGTTAGAAATGACGTAATTAAGCTAGGAAATAAAATATAGCGAAAAATTGTTTTCCCATTGATTTGGTATTTTCGTGGAATTACTTTAGATGTCGTGTCATGAAACTGTAAAAAGCTTCGAGACGCAAATAAAAATATTTGGGCGGTTTAACGGGCTCGCGGGCGAAGAGCCGGACATAAACACAACCAGGTCCCAAGGACCCGGCTACCGCCATCAGCAGCGGACACTTTATGACACGGCTAGGGGCGGCCTGCACGTGTGTGTGGGGGGGGGGGGGATGTTTACAACCGGCTGTAAAATAAATGTGATATGCACGCTGGCGCGGCGTTCACCGCTGAATTACGTGCGAACGTGAAGCAGTTGTTCGGACAAGGGCGCCGATCTGGAAGGAAAGCCTGCTTCCTTTTTTCTTTCTTTCTTTCTTTTTTTTTATTCCACGAGAAGGGGAGAGATTTAATGGAGCGCGGGATATGAATTAATGCTATAGAGTTCAATCGAATTTTACAACAATTTTTACGGAAGCCGATAGATGAAAACCGAAGAAAGGATAATCGTAATCAATTCTCTTTTACAGTCTTAGGGGCGCGTTTACACGGTGATAGTAGCCATCACGAAAGTGTGTGACAGTCACTGCAGCGATAGGTTTAGTTTACACACACGGTCGAGACATGCTGTGATAGTTAACCTCAAAAAATACATGTCCGACAACACTTGTGTAAATACATTGATAGGCCCTACATTTGTATCCTTTTGTCAAGAGTTTGATATTTTTTGGGGTAGTTAAATATCGTGACAGGATATTAATGACATGTAAACATTTATTGTTCCCGTGGTTTATTATATGACAGTAAATATGCTGTCAATACTGTCGTGTCATACCTATATGCTAATATACACCCTGTCATACCACCACAAAGTGTAAGAACCACGACAGATATTAACAGAATCAATTACTTCTGGTAGCGCTGTTATCGCGGTAGCGCTATCGCGACGGTGTGACAGAAAACGTCGTGCATTTTACACGGCGATAGTACCACGACAGTAGCTATCGCGATAGTGACTATTGCGTATTTCTATCGCAATGTAAACGCGCCCTTATTCACTGTTGCTTCGAACTTCTCTGAGACCCTGCAAAAGTTCTACTTCCTGGATATTCCTCCGCCTCATTCAAACAAAGCTTTGCCGAGTCTGGAAAATTACTCCAAAGGACAACGCACCGCATTCGTGCGCACTCAGTGTAATAATACTATGCATGAGATCAATTTCTGACTCGGCATTACCAACACACCTATTTTCTCCCTGTTTCATTCAAAATATTTCTAAATTAAATACGAGGGCTGATTCAGATGTCACGGGAACTACTGTTCATCTCCCGAAAATGACCCAACACTGGAAATGTACTATGTACAGTTGAAAGTGTACATGTACGTTTTAAAGGTGATACCACATGGGGTATGGATGTAAGAATGTCTGGCAATGAACAAAGACACACGTGGCTGCTTGGAATCACCGTTTGATTGATATATTCTCTCACAAAAAAAAATTAACACTACGAACAACACAGCAACCACAAAAATAACCAGATAAAATAATAGATAAACCAACAGAGAAGACACAGAGCGACGAAAATAACACAATATAATAAGTCTGCACGACGTTTCGGAGCCTGAAATCTGTCTCCTTCTTCAGGTTAGACACTGGAAGGAAAATCGCAATACTCTCTATAACTTATAATATGCAACCTAAATACAATGTATAATTTTCTCCTTGTACCTCTGTACGACTAGCATGGCTAGCTCAGTCGGTAGGCCATTTAATCTCCGGGTCGTGGGTTCAAGCCCCACGCTGGGTGATAAGTATTTTAAACATATTTGTTTTAAGACTCTCGTAAATCGCCGCATTAGGACACACACTCTTACCCGTAAGGGGCAGTGATCACGTTAATTATGAATAGGGGGCTACCCTTAACAACTGAAAATAATAGGAAAATGGCATGTGTGTACAGCACGAATGATGTATCATAATGACATAGGCACATATTTTCATTTCATTCGCAGTTCATGTAATGAACCACGATAGTGGAAAGAGCTATGAAGATCAGGAAAACTGTACGGTAATAGTATAAAAAAAGAATATACTCCATAAGAAATGTAGAAATTTACGAAAATAATAGATACGTCCCTAGATTTCTCCAGAAATAGTGGATTCACACAGAATCTGCACCAGTTTGCTTCCCGGACCGCAGCGATGGCGAACGCGGAGGTTACACTGATTTACCTGCTGCAAATGGGTTTACCTGCTTAGTACGGTTTCACCAGTTAAATACGAAGCGGATAAAAACATATGAAGTACGTAAATTTGTAATGCCCTCCGCGCTCGCTGTTGCTTACGCCAGGGAAGCGGAGAATCGTTAATTTGTGTGGACTCATTTTTCTGTAGCTAGTTGGCGGTAGGTACAACATCTCAACGACTGCAAACCTCTAACAAACGAAATAAAATCTCCTACTACTATCCCCAACCTCGGCAACAGTACTAACTTTGCAGCTGAAAATCAACACGAATGTCGACACCATTATGCAGAGAAAATGGCACATTCCACCAAAATAGTAGTTTCGTTACTATAGTGTAAGTACCCAATCATTTTTCAAATCACAAATACAGCAGAACCTCGATAATTCGGATAAACTGGGACCGGAGCCGAACCGGCATAACGAGAATCCGTGTTAACCTGAGGATGTGGGAAAAATCAATAAAAGACTACGTACTTACATATATTCTTTTATATTAAACAAAAAACCATTTTTGAAACATATTACAAAACATATTACAAACACCTTACCACATGTAACAGATACAAGTACATTAAATTAGCTACTAAGGCTTCTTAACATTAATGTTTTTAATTTTTTTGTTCCTCTAAATCATCCGGGTTATCGGGCGATCCGGGTTATCGGGAGATCGAGTTACAGGATGTCAACTTAATGACGTTCTACTGTAAAGATAATCGTGTTGATGGTTAGAAATAGCTGTGAACATCACGCTGCGCCTATTTTATTAGGCTGCTTACGACCGGCGCATATCCTACAGGACTATTACCACGGAAAATGATCGCTATCAACGGATAATTCAATTACATTTATAGTCCATTCGTGGTTACTTCACACTTTTTGAATCAAACATTTGAAAATCAACCCATACATGAAGTGTTTGGTTATTTCGTAAATACGTCATGCATGACAAGCGTTTTTAGCTATGTTAATATTAAAGGACCTACCTTATTTTTGGTTGAATGGCACTTCACTTAAATTTTATTTATAAATTATAATATTTCATCCATAAATAATATGAAGGTATGTTGGTAATGTCTAGTAAGAAATAGTTAGCATGCAAAATATTATTAAACTGAGTGCACAAGAATGCGGTGAGAATACCTTTAGTGTAATTTTCTAAAATCGGTTAAGCTTTGTTTTCACGAGGCGGAGGAATATTCTGGACATAGAACTTTAGAAAGGCTTCATATAAGTAGGAAATAACCATGCGTGTACTATATGTGTACTTTTCTACTGCGAGGGCAAACACAGATCGTAACTGAAAACTCGGACACGTTCGTACTCAAGCCTAACGATTCTTATACGACACATTCGAAATCCCACGAATTATTTAATTATAAGAGTTCACTCATTCAAATGAAAAAATAATCACGAACGCATGCTTGGCGGTTCGCACACTTAGAAATCTGCATCCGTACTAACGTTAAAACGCATTGAAATTGCTGCTCTTTTTTGTGTCTTTCGCTTCACTTTTATTCGCGTCAGATCACCATTATAGGAAGAAAATAGCATGGTGCATTGGAGGCACGTTTGTCCTAAAACCATTTTTCATGTCTCCTTTAGCCTGAATTAATTCTTCCTAAAATCGTTTGTCCTAGTGCCGATTATCGTAAAGTACATTTGCTTAAAAATATTTTTCCTGTAGTAGTTTGTCCCAAAGTTGTTGGTCCTAAAATACAGTTACTGAAAAACAGTTTGTCCTAAATTCAGATTCCTATAAAATCGTTTGTCCTTAAATACATTTACTTCGAAATCGTTTGTCCTCAAGACATTTGTCCTGAAATACCTTTGCTTTAACATAGTTTGTCCTAAAATAAGTTCTCTATAAAATTGTCTGCCCTGAAGTCGTTTGTGCTAAAGGCATTTGTGATAAAATACATCCGCTTTAAAATGGTTTGTTCCAAAGCAGTTTATCCTACAATTAGGATAAGTGATTTTAGGACAAATTACGTGTATTCGGCGCATAATGCAAACAACAGGCCTTAACAACACAGTAATTTGCGCCAAAGTCAAACTAACTACTTTCGTACATCTAAGATATTTCCTTCGGATCAGCCTAGATTCTCCATAATTAGCAAGATTACACTTGCACAGTCATTGATAGAACTTATTGCTGATAGTTACAGTGGAGACATGTATCGAAATGATATTGAAAAAGAGAAATTGGCCGCACAGCTCTTTTGGGAAATGCCACATAGTACGGCTTCCTCCTCTAATTCCACACTAGACCAAATTTTCTACTCAACTCTTCTTACGAGTAGCCTGACTAGCTCGGTTGGTAAAGCATGCGACTCTTAATCTCAGGGTCATAGGTTCGAGCCCCACACTGGGCGTTCGTAAGTTTTTAAACAGTTCCTGATACACTTAGTCTCAAAGTCTGCCGTCAGGGCTTGAGGACCCGCTCACTCGCCTTTGGGGGGACAGTAATCCTTCCTAGAACAAAAGAAAAGTCCGAAAAATAGCTGTGAGTTGAATACATAGCCATATACGTGTGCTGTGGAAGACTTGGAATCGAATGACTTTAATACAATAGAATTAAATGTTATTTCAACTTAAATTAACTTTGTCAAAATGCATTCCTATTACAGTATGTAGACCTAAAATTGCATTCCAATTTCAGTTTGATGAGATGTCGTAGCTCTAGCAACATGCTGTGTAAGGCACTAAACTACGTGAAAATCTTTCTAACAACAATCGCATCTCCTAAATGATGTTTCACGTAGTCACTTTACATGACGCCGTTTCATAAATATAGGCACGCTGTAAGTTAGTATTACCACCTGTCAGTTCACTGATATTCATACATGGATGTATGTACAATGCTGTGACATGAATACATGTTCAGTTAAACATGATAATAAGCACAAAAATATATTGCAATTTATTTTGATATTTAAAAATGAAACATTCATCCCTGAAATAGGCTACTTTTAAAGAAACTATAATGAAACTTGACATTACTCAAACTTTATATATTATAAGCAATGAGAGAACAGCTATAAAAAAAAGGAATAGTTCAAATTATAGTTGGCACACCTGAGGCAACATCTTTATGATAAAAACAGTGGTTTCCCATTGCCTGCCACAGTAAACAATAAAATAGTGTACAAACTAAATTCATCACATTGTTATTACAATAGAGAGATGGCCTAATAATCTGTCAATAGTTTGTTAGTCTGAAAGTGATAAAAAACATTTCTTCTACGTTACATAAGAAAATTGAATCAGAACGCTTCCAGAGATTAGATGATCTAGTTCTGTCCGAAGTAAAATCAACGTTTATAAGTGTGCCTTCGGGAGACATTATCATTGTCAATTTAATTTTTAAATTATTTTTTCATTGTAATCTTTTATTTGAATAATTCGTTAGAACAAAAACTTCCGTAATTTAATGAGCTATTATTTCGCACGAACACCATTGAGGATTTTTTGTTGTGGCCAGAAAATCCAAACGGTGAAAATGATATAACACACGTATAAAAAATGTATAAATGACAGGCGATTTTAGCTTTTTTAAACTGATACAGTAATGGCACAGAAATAATCGGTACGAATAATAAGGTTTTCACAGGGAAAAACCGCACAAAATCACTGGAACGAGTTGTTCAACCACATTTTTTTTCTCGTCTCTAATGACTCAGTTGTTAACGAAACGTTCAGTACTACCAATCTACATATTTCAAATTAAATATGCAGTCCAGCAAACCTTTTTTTTTTGGCTTATGCCGGAAGCACGCAGCCCTGACTAGCAAGACACGACATTTGCGATACAATTAAAACCGAACAGTTGATCAAATTAATATAGAACACTTATGAAGTCAGCACGGCGAAAAGCGTCATAAGACCAGCATTTTTGGACTAGAAACTTTCCCTATATTTACCGTGCCGTGCCCCGCCTCTTCATTGCGACGCTGCTCCATGCTCACCTCGCCTCACCCTCGCCGGCTCTCAAGACCTTGATGTTAAGTGGGATCAGCCCCCGACATGTTGGGTTTATGGAATTTTCGCCGTAACTTGCATCACAGTAGATATGAGCTAAACCAGTATTTCTCAGGAACACCCGTAACTGTTCCTGTTCCCAGTCGATACATGTTGCTAATACCTGTTATTGGGAACACCTGTTATGGGTAAGCAGTGTGCTAGGCCGCGTTGTTCCACTCATAGACTAAATATGAGGTAGACCGATCTCGCTGGCTGCGGACAACCAATCTCCGTGCCCCAACCTTGAACTACTTTTCTGCCTACACGTCTAGCGAAAATTGCGTGGTTTTGATTTTAGGTTAGAATCCTGACGTGTAAACAAATGCTTTGAGATGTATGTATATTACTTCCTCTAACCAATTTGTAAAGCAATTTGATTAAATTCTAATTGGTAAAAGTGTTTTATACATATAATAGTGCTTGTCATTTAAAAATTGAAATATAAACAAACACTTTCATCACTGTTGACCACGTTAGTTTGACAGTTGTTTAGGATTGGGGTAGGTCAATGTTGTGTACATGCGCAGAAGACAAATAAGCGGTCTACCTCATATCTAGTCTATGGTTCCACTCTCTCACCTCGTTCTCGAATACCGGTTATTAGCCAAGTACTGGCCTGATCTTTTTCGCTATAGGCTATTCGAGGTAAAGTGAGCACTTTTTAAAGCCCTTCCAAATTTTCCCTTTTAGCCAATTTTTATTTTCCTGCTCTTTTTAATATCAGCATTGCCATGTGACTAATAAATATGGTATACACTTTCACCACTCTCAAAAGTTAATGTCTGAGGCTGCAACAAAACATATTTGTTAGTGGTTAATGCCTAGTGGGAGGACCTTCAAAAGTGCTCACTTTATCGTGAAAAGCCTATACCTCTATGTAGCGCATACCCTCCTGGCAGTTGGATTCTTTCAACTACGTTTTGAAAATATTAGAAACTATATTTTAAAGTCGTCAGTATTAAAAAAAAATCATATATATGAAAACACGACTCCAGTGTTCACTTCACATCGTAGAAATAGCAAGGTGTGTGGTGGGATTCCCTGCAGAGCAAGTAAAGTCGGGCATTATGATTGTCCTACCAGGGAAACAGTAACAGACAGGGATGTTAACAGGTATCTCCAGAAACTAGGAACAAGTATAGGCTGTTCTCGCCCAATACCTGTTGCTGATAACAGGTATTGAAAATACTCCCCATCTCTACATCACAGATTAAAGGTTTTATTTTGGGCGGCTACAAATCGCAGCATTGCAAATCGTAGCATGCATTGCTATAGGCTGTTCACGGTAAAGTGATCACTTTTGAAAGCCCTCTCGTTTGGAAAAATAGTCAATAAATATATTTTATTTTAGCCTTAGACGTTAAGTTCCGAGTGTGGTGGAATGTACACAGTGTGTTTATTACTTACATGGTAATATTTATTTTTAAAAGGTTGTTAAAGGATAAGAAATGGCCGAAAGGAAAAAAGTAACTAGGGTGTCAAAGTACTCACTTTGCCGCGAACAACCTATAGATTATGTTTCCAGGATAATTACTGTAATCGCCAGCAAGTAAAAATTACTAATTTCTTGCCTGCAATCACTAGTCAGAAATTAATAAACGCGGTGGAGTTGTAACGTTTTGATAAAGCTTTAGAAACTACTAGTTATGCAATGTCATGTGAAAAATTCCATTAAACAATCTTATATAGAACTTATGGCGAAAATATCGAAAATCCCAAGATGGCGGGGCATTGACTCACTCGCTCGCTGTACTCTTGGAGACAGCTACCGCGGAGGGACTGTAGCGTGCGCAGGCTCCCTCTCGCCATTGTTAATTACGTGCTTCGTCAGCATCTTCATTCCCCTGCCTCCCTCTTCCTCCGCGGAGACCATTATGTTCTACTCGCAGCTCGTCCCTTTGTCATGCACACGCAGTTGTGTTTCTTGACGTTATTGCTGGCACTACCTGCAGTCTGACACGTCACGATCCTGCGAGGGAAGACTTCATATTCACGCCCAGTGCTACCAGGTTTCTCCAAGAAAATATCTCCCCAGCGTGCTTTAGAAATCCCACCCAGTCTGCAAGAAACTCCTGCGTTAAACATGCATTTATTTATGCCACTAAACCATGAATAACACAGCATTCAAACTTCGTATTTATAAATAATACCGTAACATCAATCTCTCAAAATGACATCCCATCAAAAGTAATAAGCTAGATAATATATTTTAAAGAAACTTTCTTGCATACGTATTTGAGTTCTGAACACATTTACGGGATATAACGGTTCTGACGGGATAATCTATGAACGAATAATACCCACGTGTTTTATATAGGTAAGTTTTGATTTATTTCCCCTTCCAGTGGAGCTGTAGCAGCCTCCTATTCAACATTAAATTACTTTTGTTTTCGGAATTGAAACAGATTTCGTTTATTCCCTTTAGTGACAAAAAAAAGACAAAGGGCAGAAAAACAATGTGATACGAGGAGAAAATACTAACAATTAATAAACACATGCAAAATAAACAAAGCCAAATGTAGGTAAAGGCCGTTTACTATAAAGTAAGCACTTTTACATGAGTACATTTTGACGGGCGCACTGAGTGGCATGCGCCCAGTAAATTTGGCAACGATGTAAGAAAGTAGATCCATGTCTTAGCATTGGATTAAAAGTGTTGGGTAAATATTTGTGAAAACTGAAATAACTTCTTTTTCTCTCTCTGATATTTTAATGCACTTAAATGTAAGAATTAGCAAATTTGTAAAATATTTTTTCTAATAATTCTACGTTATTACAGGACCGACGACGCATGAATGAAGTGATCAGGCCAAAACTATGTTAATTACACGTGGCAGAAGAATACACAATGTTCATACAAGTAGATCTTACGCAGGGCTTTAAAATATGCTCAGTTTACCGTGAACCCCCTATACCAGAGATGCTCCGTTCAAAAACGGCCTCTGTTACTTAAGCGCCACTGAAATTTCTCTCTCGCTCTGCCTCACTCATCCTGTCTGACACGCACATGAAAAATAGTCCTAATGACCTGAAGCATTTTTTTTAATGATGACAAAGCACAGGTGGGGCCGCGGTGGCTTAGCGGTTAGCCTGCTCGCCTCTCACCAAGGCGAACCTGGTTTAATCCCCGGCTGGGTCACTCCCGGATTTTCGCATGTGGGAATCGTGCCGGACGATGCCGCTGGTCGGCGGTGTTTTCTAGGAGATCTCCCGTTTCCCCAGCCCTTTCATTCCGGCGCTGCTCCATACTCATCTCAATCACCCTCATTGGATCTCAAGACCTCGCTGTTAAGAGCTGCCCAAATCTCTTCTCTCACAAAGCACAAGTATTAATTACAGACTAAGTAAATTA